TTTCCCGGGGAGAAAAATACAAATCAAACAACGGTTTGCATTGGAACAGAACAAACATTTTTTTAAATATTTAGAATAAATATTTCAAATATTGATAGCCGGACTTTTGAAGTTACGAATAAATGAAAATATAAAGTGTGTAATAATGAAAAGATACGTGTAAAACTTATATAAAAATATAATAACAAACGAGAAGTTATATATTGTGACGTGGTCACAATGCATGCCAGGCTGCAATTTTTAATAATTTTTTAATGTAAAATATATGCTCTTCACCTCAAATTAGTAGAGACTTAAACATCATACTTTTCCTTTAACAATAGAGTGATGCCAATTATCTAACACCTTTCAGGAAAAAATTTTTGAATTGAAATAACGTGACTTTCGGTTTTCATCGGATGTTAATATATAGTTAATCGGGCCTCCTGACACTAAGGTTTCCATATCTGGTCCGTCTTTCATCTATCTAAATCCGTTCTCGAAATAAAGGAAAGACAGACAGGCGGACAACAGTGGAAATTTATAGGTCTACAATTTTTTTCAAATTGCAGCCTAATAATAATAGCCAAGTACAAACGTTATCCTCCTAATACGCATGCTACGAGTTCATATAGTGTCATTCCAGGTATATTCGGAAAAAGGTCCTCCTAGTCACAGGTTACGCTATCGAGGTTCCAGTCTGTGGTTTATTTCGAGGGAAAATGTATAAAACCAGATATACGGAGGCGTTACACATCTGTAAAACTCTACTATTGCCTATTCTTTATCAGTTTTAAATAGTAATGGGTCAGGAGTTTATCAATAAAAAAGATCGTTGGATTTGCTTCAGGAAAGTAACATTTTTTATGATGCAATTGATGATAAATTAGAATGACGGTCTCGTATGGATACATTAAAAATCATGGAAATAATCACGAAGAAAATCGGGCTACTTTCTTACTAATGAAATCAATTTACACTTTCTTTTTTTCTTAATTCTCTTTATAATCGTCGTTATCTTTACTTTTTTTTTTTTTTTTTTCAATCTGACATTCAAATTGTAATATAAATAATCACCTAAATTATATATTTAAATAATTTATTCTAGAATTTATAATCTACGATAAGGATATTTTCGAATCGATATAAATGGTGATTTTGTTTTCATTTTATCATTGCTCTTAATTTAATAAAAATGGCTGTTTATTTTTCTTGTAAATACTTTTATATTTCATGTTTTATACTAAATTAATTNAATCGACGTTCAACTGTATTTATGTTATGATAATAATATACATATTAAAATAGAGTATATTAAACAAAATGTACAGAATAACATTTTTATCTGTAATATTTATTATTATAGTCTACTATCCAACATATTTGTGGCATATAATACATGCTTGTGTATATTAATCGAACATACACTAGTCGCGTATAAATTTCTTTCAAAAACGTTTAATTAGATGTAAAAAAATTTAATTAGACTTAATCACCGAATTTAAGTTTTGCAATTACTTTTAATAGAAACAAAATTTGATTAAAGTTGCTGTTTTCTGTATTCATTGGATGCTAACTTCTACATATTCGTGGTTACTAAAGAACATCAAAGCTCACGATCAGAATCAATTAGCAAGTTAAATAAAAGATCAAGTCATCTAGCCGATGATTAAATTATAAGAAAAGATGTAAATCGAATCGCCTTACAGTTATTTGTCTTGTGTTAACTTTCCAACTAATGAAGGAAGCGTAATTTACTAAAACAAGAACTAATTTTACACCAAAAAAATGTAGTTTATAATATAATCATTTAAAAAAATAAACAAGATTTTCATTTTAACAGCAACAAAACTATAAAAAAAATTATTTTTAAAAGATAGATTTTAAAATAAATTCTTAGTGAGAAATGAATGTAAATCTAAAGTAAACTATGACATTGTAAGGGATCAAATCTCTTCTCAAGCTGATGCTATGATAGTTTTTCTACGTTCTTTGATAAAGAATGGAATGAAATGTGTAGGAGAGGGATACGTGGAAAATCAGTTCAAAATTCTACTCGGGAATTGGAATTCTAGAAAAGATACAAGCAACCTGAGATATAAGAGAACAGATAATAATAAATAAGTTTCAAATGCCACTTGCTCTGATGATGCCATTCGAATGAAAATGAAAAAATGTCCAAAGTAAATCTTCATCCAAGACACATGTTCGATATCAGTGATTACACTGCCGATAGATAGTTTGGATGATTTTCGAACTGCTTACAGGAATTTAGAAAATTTAGAGAAAAAGATGAATAAAATATTAGCGCAGATACATTCCATTCCCAATTTTCAACTGATTAAATCGGATTTTCACTCTGTTTGAAGGAAGAAAACAAAGTAAGAATTATATATTATTTTGATTTGCTATTGCTGCTGTTTGCTCGTATTAATGAAGCCATTTTTAAATAAATTTATTACTTCTGGTTTTGTTTACATTAAAAAATGAGAATTTTGAAAAATAACGTGTGACGTTAAAATTAAAAAGCAAATGTAATTACTTCGTCGTTTATAGAAAACTTTAATTATTTAGTATTGTTTTGAAAATTGGATTGTAGAAAATTAATAATTTTACTAGCTGCCAAACTAACGGAATAATTGCTATTTGCAGGTTTCGTGCATTTAAATCTTTTATTAGTCACGGGCTTATTGATTGTCGCGACGATTCCATCTAAATCCAATAGATAAATTTATCTATTATAAATTTTCTAATAGAATGGTAACGAGTGAAAAGAATTACGAAAAGTATACTTACAAATATTTTACACTCTACTTTTTGCAGAATAAATTTAAAGTTTCCTTTTTATTTTATAAATAAAGAATTGTTTAATACTCAAGCTACGACGATGATGATACATTCCTTGCAATATACAGTACAGTGGTGCCTCGTATAACGTACTTAATCCGTTCCAGGTGCACGTCCGTTAAGTGAAAAGTCCGTTATACGAAACGCATTTTTCCATAGAAATACATGTTAAAACATATAATTCGTTCCGCAGCATAAAATAACCGTACCATAAAAAAATGAAAATGGAGCAGTCATCAATTATGCCGAGTAGTCAGATGTGAGGAGGTGGAGGAACACTTTTTTGATACATTCATACAGATACAGACTTTTTACACATTACAACAGGTCTCTTTTTATTGTTTTTTAATCGAAGTCAGATTTAGAAGAGGCTACCGGAGCTTGCAGGGTCAACTCCTCTTGTTTCATCCTTTGTTTTTTGACAGCTGGTTTCGTGAAAACATCATGTCCAAGGTGGTCTGTTTCTCTCTCTTCTTCAACACTTGTCGGAAATGACGGGCAAGGGTGTCATTGTAGAGATCATTGATCCTGTTGGCCTCAGCTCTGTTTGGATAATGAGTGTTGGTAAACTCCTAAACCTCTGCCCATTTGACAAAGAAGTTTTTGTCAACTTTCACTCCTTCTGACGATTTCTTGCTTTGTTTCAATTGAAATCACCTTTCTGTTTTTTTAGAAGCCATGATTTGCACAACACTTGAATAAATGTAAATACCCCCTTTCACTGAGGTGATGTACTGTACGTAATAAACAAGAGAGCAAGCCGAATCCCAACGGGAGCTCTGTACTTCAGATATACTAATAATATCAATATATTCTAATAATACTAATATACAGTATTATAAAAATAGCAGATTGTCATTGGCAACGGCAAACGAGTGGAAACATCATTCGCACTTGTTCGCAGAAAGTCCGTTGCTCGAGGCGTACGTTATACGAGGCACCACTGTATATAAATTCTAAAAGCATTTTACATTACTCTAAAATCCATTATTTTGAAATATTTATAGTTATGAAATAAAATGTGAGGTAAGCTCGTAAGTAGACACAAATTGACAAAGGATATCATTGCATAACTTTATTTAAAGCAGTTAAAATTTAAGCAAAAATATTCTTGTGCATGTTCTGTATCAAATTCAGCTGAAAATAAATCGATTTATTTTTAATCCTCTTGTGCTGAAAGTTATCATTCTATACGATTTTGTTTTTAATTAATTAGTGTTTTTAAAAATGTATAAGCATTTTAATTACAAGTATTTTGTAGAGAATAGTTATGCACAATTACCCTTCCCTTGGCCAATTGATTCAGAATAGTAATCGCTTCTGTTTATATATTCATAATATATTTTGGGGGATGAATTACTTATTTTATCAAAATGAAACGTAAATAATTCTAAAATTTTCTAATTACCTATAAAATCTGTTTCTAAATGCTCCATTAGTACTATTATAATAAAAGTTAAGAATATTTTTATATATTTTTTAAAGTACTGTATCACTAATGTTTTATTGAAAAATAGATTAAGGCTTTAACTTCATATAAAAATAACTTATGTTTTTGTGATTTAAATATAATGCAAATATCATGTTGATTTATTGAATAGTAAAGAAAAACTTTAGTGAGAGGACCAGATTCTTGAAATTTGCTTATAAATCTTTATCCATTTCTTGATGTTTATGTGCTATAAGTTAATCGTTTTAGAGGAATATTTACAGATTGTATGAAAGAACTTTTGGATTAATTAATATAGTGCAATAAAATAATAATATGATTATATTTTAATACTTTTAAAATAAGTATTTAATTAATAATCTGTTTTAAAACTTGAAAATAAAGGATATTTAGTATTTTTTAAAAACTTGTGTCTAATTCTTATTTTACATATTTAAATAACGTTAACATCTGTCTGATTAGAATTTTGGGTTTATTAGTGACAAGGGAATTGCATCAGCACATTTATAGCTTTCCCTAGTATTTTTGAATTTTTCTATCCATCTTGTAGGGATATCTTCTCTTATAAAGCAGGATTTGAGAGATTTTTGAAGATTGCTTTAGAAATCTTATTATCGTATTATAAATTAAAAGGAAAAAGGCTGTTTTACTTTTTATTTTAATCTTCAATTGAATTATCTCTTAGTAATTTAATAAGCGTCTGTAATAAATTATTCCATTTCAGAATTTATATAAAGAATGCCTGGAACTTACTGAGTGAATTGAAGGCATCCATTGATTAAAGACATATTTATGTAAATTGAAACTTTTTACATTTTTAAAATAATAAATGAGTGTCAATTCTCTTTACATTTGTATATTTATATTATATTTAAATAATACATTTTTATATTTAAATATCGATTTAAAACATTAATAAACCGTATTAATTGTTTAGTGTAATTATAATGTATTGTTATAGTCTGAGTATTGTCTGTAAAAGTGCCATAATTTTTATAAATTTGTTACCAAAATCTTAAGTATATTAATTCTCATTAACTGTTATATGTAAATGATTTGTAATCATTAAAATATATTTCAATATTTAATTATTACTATTATTTTTATAAGAATCAAATCATAAAATCTTTTAGGATAAATTTTTATTGCATTTAAAAATAGACAGATAAAAATTTCATTTTTGTGTATAATATTTAAGAAAGATAACAGTAGTGCTGTACACACAAAATATATTTTACATTAGACATAATATGATTTAATATTTATATTTAAAGTAAACAAGAGACAAATAACATTTTTAACAAAATATATAATGACATATATAAACTATTCATCATAAGCAAAGCAACAAACCACAGATATTTATTTTTTTAATAACAAAAATAGCCTTTATAAATAGCATTAGAGCAATATAAAAACATTTATTATTTTTATTTATATATTTTATGACATACCAGAATTATATAAAATTATTTTTTAATAAACATAATTTTCTAAACAATACAAATTAAAATTTTTTTCTGGTTTTTTTTAATGCATATTAAGCATCCAAATTCTATTGGCTAACAGATATCTCACAACTAAATTTCCTCAGGCATTATTTACAGCAGGCAAGATACAATAACTCAAAACTAGGAAAGGAATTCACATCACTATTTTAAAAAATTTCAGTTTTAACTGTTAAATAAATTTTCATTTATCGCTAGTAAAAGTTAAATATAACAGACGACGACAATAATAGTTCATTATTAAAAATATAATGGGACTTACTTTATTTATAATACAGATATGGTACAATATGCCTTTAGGCATATAATTTAACAATGGTAAATGGGAGAGTAAATATCTGGAAAAATAGAGAAATATTGGAGGAAAGACAAATGAGCAAAGGATTTCTTTTAAATTTAGCATAATAGTGATTTTATAAAAGTTGTTAACTGATTATGCTGGTTATTTATTGATATAATATGTGATATTTTCAAAGTTAGGCTCTCTTTCTATAGCTTTGCTAAGGTTAAACAAGTATCTAGCATAATTAAAAGGATATGTATCACGTTTAGAGATCTGTATATATTAATATGCATGAAATTGAATTCAGCAAAATTGTTATTTTAATTAGATTGCTAATATACTGTATACATTTACATAAATAATTTGTTCTACTTAATAACATATTTCTAATTAAGGAAAGTTTTTACATTTTATGTATATAAAATTAAATTATCATAAACTAAAATTTTGTTCAAGTATAAATCGATATTTACATTGGAGCAATACAATCTAGAAACTTTTTTTTTTGGCTTAAGATTTTTATCTTCAACTTAATATTATAAAAAATGTAGTTTTGACACAGAATTTGTAGAATTAAATATAAGAAAAAAAATAAAAATTTATGTAGAATTTCACAATAATTTAAATATCTATAAATGAATAAATTTACAATGAAAACTAGTAAAAGTATGAAATATAACACACTACACAGTTTGTGACTAAGGCACATATATTGTGAAATGTGTCTTCCGGATTTCAATACAGTAGGCACCGAAAATTGTTTATTATGCCATGTATCACAAACTATGAGCATGGGGTATTCGTTGTTGAACATTGGCAAGTGATATATATATAATAGTGAAGGTGGATTTAATCTGTGTAATCTTATATTTTTCGGAGCATTAAACAAAATTGATTTGTAGAATGCATAGAATATGCTTGCCCAGCAAGCTGGCTCTTTTTATTTTATAATTTGTTGCTATATTTTGTTTTAATAATCTTCATTTATGATAAGATTCCAATTTTCCGACTGCGATGGTAATATAATGGAATGAGCAAGAAAGAAACCAAACACGAATATTCCAAATAATACAGGAAACACTATTTTTGACACATTGTCGATACTAGCTGGAATTCTCTGTTTGGAGGAAGATTCAATGATTAATATTTGTGTTCTCTTCAGCCAGTCCCATAGTGCCAAAGTCGGTTGTGGACCAGGTGGTTGAGGTTGTGGTGCTTGATGCTGTGAAAAATCTGTCATTACTGGTGTCTCCTGTGGTGTTAAATCATTAGTTTCTGAACCTGGAGATTCTGAATTTGTTTTCTATTTTAAAAACAACAAAAGACAGTTATTAAAATACATTTTAAATTTAAGATAATTTTTTTACAAGATTGAATAATAACTGAAATTAAATATTCATTTAAACAATTTAATTTTTTTATTTCTTATCTAAACAGTTTAAAAAAGTATAACTAACTAGATATTAATATATATTCAGTATCATTTATTATTTGAATTAGAAAAACTGAAAATGCATTGTAAATATAATAATATATAATTAAATTGCTATCAATACAAAGTATGAAAAACTTCAGCTTCTATTTACTTCTTTTTTATTATACAAGATAATTTAGTTTAAGTATCCCATTTTTTATTTATAAAAATGACTAAGCTTTCATTATAATAAATGTAATGACCAAGTAAATTAAGTGGATTGAATTCTTATGTTAATTTTCCTGAGTTTATCAGTTTTAATGATAAATTTAGTTATTTAATTTTTAAAAAATTATTTTTAATTAAAATTTTATTAATATGTAGATAAAAATTATAATCTATCAAGTAGTTTAAAAAATGCTCTTAATACGTTTTATATTATTACTTATTCCTGGAATATATATGAATTAATAAATTCATTTATTCAATATATATTTCTTAAATTCTAATTTTTTTTTATTTAAAAGCATCATAAATCCTTATTTAAAGATTCAGAATTCCAGAAAATTATCTTACATAATCCATGTTTAAAACAAATGTTTAATTATTTGTAGCAAATTTTTTTAAAAAAAAAACTAAACAAATTCAAGCAGAATATTTTTTAAATATAATTAAATATATAAAAACTTCGACATTATTTATTTTAAATATTGGGAATGTTCCAGTTAACTTTTTTTGGTAGAAAAATAATTATCTATGATGTGGATGAAAATTAAAAAATAAAAAAGAAAGTTAGTATTACATAATAGAAAAAGTTCAGTCTATTTTTTTATTTACTAAATTAAATTTGCCAGCGAATAAGTAGTAGCTGTCTGAAGATTTACACGAATAGCTATCGATATAAGAAGAAAAAAACAGCAAAATAGGTGGCAAGTTAAGAGATCCAATTTACTGGACGAAAAGATAGTAATCAGTTTTGTTATATTTCTTGCTATTGGATTATCTTTATTACGATACTATGACATCGAATCCGCAGGACTTCTCAACCGTGATTTACAACACACGGCTAGCACTCGACACTTATTGATTACGTGCAATTATTTCATACAACAGCTTAACCTATAACAAATCCTTATCGCTTGACGTTATCCTATCGGATGACTGACTTTTCAATAGCATCTTTTCGAAACTGTCAATAAAATAAAGAGCTATATCGAAATCTATAACACGAAAGATTTATTTTAAAAAATAATGTTTTTTCAATTTCTTTTAGCTGATTTGTAACGAATTTATTATTTGACGTCTGTGGACCCTAAGTAGGCATTTTTCAGGCCATTGTAGGTCCGGGCAGATCTATGATGGGGTGCAGTACGATGGCGCGTTATCCTAGGAACAAAAAGAGAGACTACCTGGGACCCCCAAATCAATCTTTTGTAAGATCTTTCTCCAAAAAATCTTCTCGAAGTCAACACTACATGGTCTCCCTAATCTAAATTTACCTGAGTCCAATTAAGCTATAACGTGCCACTGGTGCTGGATGATGAGGGATGGGACCCGACATTTTTTTAAAATTTATTCTTTCCGCCCTGTGGGCACTAAGAGGGCATCTTTTAGCGAGCTCATTATGGACTCAGCCAGGTCCACAATGGGACGGCCGGGTGATGCGGGACGGGCCGACATATTTGGAGCGAACCACCCCGAAAAATTCCTGAGTTTTTCGATTCGATCCCGGTGATTCCTTAACCGGTCTCGACCATTTGGCACATTTATTTTTTGATATAAATAAGATTTTTTCTAAAATATAATTATTTTTTTTATCATATTCACTATAATTGCTTTTGGAATAAATACAAAAAAAATTTAATAAAGTTTTAAAAATAAAATTTAAAGCATTGTTTCTGAATTAAATTACAGAAACTATTTTCAGAAAAATGATAATAAAAAAATGGCAATGGCACAATTTGGATCTTTGCCTGAGAACTTTTTTCTTAGTGTTAATAAATTACTTCGGGCATAATAAAGCACAAAGAAGAAACAATTGCTATACCAAAGAATTATACTGTACTACTACATACATTTGTACTATAAGTTACTTCTACTATATTAAATGTTTTTCTTACATATTCTCAATAATTTTTAGATTGATTTATAATAATAATTATATTACAGTAGAGCGTCGATTATCGAAAAAATCGATTAACCCGAACCGACTTCAGAGTACTAATTCCAGAAATTACGAAATCGTTAAGTAATAACTTTTGTTATTAACATCAATGTTGTGTTTTATTTATTACAGTACAAATAGAAAAGCATGATTAATGAATCGCAGGCTTCTATTGCATCAAATGCTTTACTGTGCGTAGGCACAATGAAGCATGTGATGCATTCGAAACAGCATTGACATGGTTGGAATTGCAAGCTCAAGCAGATTTTTCAACTCTCACGACGATCGAGTCAGCCAGGAATGGTAGCAGCGTTAAAAAGAAAAACAAAATAAGTGATTTCTTTAAAAAAAGACCTGTAGTNATTATCTTTATTACGATACTATGACATCGAATCCGCAGGACTTCTCAACCGTGATTTACAACACACGGCTAGCACTCGACACTTATTGATTACGTGCAATTATTTCATACAACAGCTTAACCTATAACAAATCCTTATCGCTTGACGTTATCCTATCGGATGACTGACTTTTCAATAGCATCTTTTCGAAACTGTCAATAAAATAAAGAGCTATATCGAAATCTATAACACGAAAGATTTATTTTAAAAAATAATGTTTTTTCAATTTCTTTTAGCTGATTTGTAACGAATTTATTATTTGACGTCTGTGGACCCTAAGTAGGCATTTTTCAGGCCATTGTAGGTCCGGGCAGATCTATGATGGGGTGCAGTACGATGGCGCGTTATCCTAGGAACAAAAAGAGAGACTACCTGGGACCCCCAAATCAATCTTTTGTAAGATCTTTCTCCAAAAAATCTTCTCGAAGTCAACACTACATGGTCTCCCTAATCTAAATTTACCTGAGTCCAATTAAGCTATAACGTGCCACTGGTGCAGGATGATGAGGGATGGGACCCGACATTTTTTTAAAATTTATTTTTTCCGCCCTGTGGGCACTAAGAGGGCATCTTTTAGCGAGCTCATTATGGGCTCAGCCAGGTCCACAATGGGACGGCCGGGTGATGCGGGACGGGCCGACATATTTGGAGCGAACCACCCCGAAAAATTCCTGAGTTTTTCGATTCGATCCCGGGCCTCCAAAGCGGTAGACTGATTCCTTAACCGGTCTCGACCATTTGGCACATTTATTTTTTGATATAAATAAGATTTTTTCTAAAATATAATTATTTTTTTATCATATTCACTATAATTGCTTTTGGAATAAATACAAAAAAAAAAAAATGTAATAAAGTTTTAAAAATAAAATTTAAAGCATTGTTTCTGAATTAAATTACAGAAACTATTTTCAGAAAAATGATAATAAAAAAATGGCAATGGCACAATTTGGATCTTTGCCTGAGAACTTTTTTCTTAGTGTTAATAAATTACTTCGGGCATAATAAAGCACAAAGAAGAAACAATTGCTATACCAAAGAATTATACTGTACTACTACATACATTTGTACTATAAGTTACTTCTACTATATTAAATGTTTTTCTTACATATTCTCAATAATTTTTAGATTGATTTATAATAATAATTATATTACAGTAGAGCGTCGATTATCGAAAAAATCGATTAACCCGAACCGACTTCAGAGTACTAATTCCAGAAATTACGAAATCGTTAAGTAATAACTTTTGTTATTAACATCAATGTTGTGTTTTATTTATTACAGTACAAATAGAAAAGCATGATTAATGAGTCGCAGGCTTCTATTGCATCAAATGCTTTACTGTGCGTAGGCACAATGAAGCATGTGATGCATTCGAAACAGCATTGACATGGTTGGAATTGCAAGCTCAAGCAGATTTTTCAACTCTCACGACGATCGAGTCAGCCAGGAATGGTAGCAGCGTTAAAAAGAAAAACAAAATAAGTGATTTCTTTAAAAAAAACCTGTAATAAATAATTTTTTACATAAATATTGCACTTTATTTTATTTTGATTTTACTATTATACTACGTATATATTTTTTCTTTGAATTCAAAATTTCATCAGTACGTTACAGTTTGCAACGAAAGACTTGTTTTATTAAAAACAATTAGACAATTTTTTCCTCGCTTATCATTTGTATCTGTTAAATTTCTCCGCCTTAATTTGTTTTTTTACTATTGTACTACAATTAAAATTAATATTTTTACTTTATTCGAGGTATTTATCTTTGTCTCCTTTTCCTACAAGTGTAATCAATTATTCGAAAACATCCCTACCGATTATTTCGGATAATCGACGTTCAACTGTATTTATGTTATGATAATAATATACATATTAAAATAGAGTATATTAAACAAAATGTACAGAATAACATTTTTATCTGTAATATTTATTATTATAGTCTACTATCCAACATATTTGTGGCATATAATACATGCTTGTGTATATTAATCGAACATACACTAGTCGCGTATAAATTTCTTTCAAAAACGTTTAATTAGATGTAAAAAAATTTAATTAGACTTAATCACCGAATTTAAGTTTTGCAATTACTTTTAATAGAAACAAAATTTGATTAAAGTTGCTGTTTTCTGTATTCATTGGATGCTAACTTCTACATATTCGTGGTTACTAAAGAACATCAAAGCTCACGATCAGAATCAATTAGCAAGTTAAATAAAAGATCAAGTCATCTAGCCGATGATTAAATTATAAGAAAAGATGTAAATCGAATCGCCTTACAGTTATTTGTCTTGTGTTAACTTTCCAACTAATGAAGGAAGCGTAATTTACTAAAACAAGAACTAATTTTACACCAAAAAAATGTAGTTTATAATATAATCATTTAAAAAAATAAACAAGATTTACATTTTAACAGCAACAAAACTATAAAAAAAATTATTTTCCATGTCTTGTAATTTCCAAATTATTAAGAAATTATGATTAAAACTTCCGTAAATATTAATGAAATTTTTTAAAATTATCATTTTAATATATTTATAAACGTATTAACTCGGGCTATATAAAACCGAATTAATTTGAAATATATCTACAGTGTAAGTATTTTTATGAAGGTAATAGAGTTTAGAGGGAGGAGAGAAAGATAAAGCCTCAATTGAGAAGCTGATTTATCTGTCACATATTCCTACGTGTTTATTGTAAGAGAGCCAATTATTCTTAGAAAAAAGCCGAATTCTTATGAATGGAGAAAGAGGAAATTGCATTGGACCAGTGGGATTTGGCATCAAAGACTTAAGAGCTTTGAGGTCGTGTCCTGTAGGATCGTATCGAACTGTCACCTAAATGACAGTTCTGACATAAAATCTTAAGTTGCCGGCGATAAAATCGATTGATCATATATTAACATCATTTATTTTAAATCCGTAAACAAAAGTATAATTAAAATTAAATACAGATTTTCCAAATAATCTATTGATACAATTTTAGCGTTGTTCATTCGAAAGAAAAATAAAATTTATTAGAAAATTCTATTAAAATTATTTAAATAAAATTCATAAATTAATAATAACTAATTTTTGTATAATTAAATTATAAATTTATTTCTCTCGTATTAATTTGCAATTTAAATTTTCGAGTAGTAAAATTATGTAAAAATTTCAATAATAATTATTATCACAGTATATAATTAATAAGTATAACGACTGCAAATCTTTAAAAACATTAAAAATTCTGAAGTCTAAGTAATGTCTAAGTAAGGACTTATCCTTATATCAATGAATTGATTGAATGTTAATTAAATTATAGATCTAAATAGGTCAAGAATTTCATCTATTATTTATTCCCTAAATAATTAATTTCATATAAATGGAAGAATGTAGGCTTAGCATGTATTAATCTACTGTAAAGAATTTCTGTATTTTTATTATGTGCTATTCAAAATGTCAAATTAAATATTTGTTTCGAAGTATCTCGATTATAAAAGATTAGTTTGATATAAGTCTATAGCAAAAAGTAGAATGGAGTGAGACTTACAGTTCCATCACTTCCACGACGTTGTCGTACGTGGCTTTGTCCACTCGGAGTTCTCACAATTTCTGTGGGTACAGGAAGCGCCGAAGGAGGCCTGCTCCTTGGTAACTTCCTGTGCAAATAATTCACTACAACGTACTCCAGCATGGAAACATAGATGAAGAAGAGGCAGACGCCGTCCCACAGATTCATAGCTTTGAGGTCGGACACTACGGGGAGGTTTGATCGGAATCTATTGGTGGTGGTGCAGAAATTCAACATAGTGGTTACGCCTATCATAACGCGTGCAGGGACTACAGTAATATCCAACCAGAAACTAATGAAGGAACTTGTCACCAGTACCATTCCGGGCACAAAAACGGTGCTGAAATAAAAGGATTTGTCGCGGGTGAAGACTAGAAGGACGTGCAAACAGCTGAAATTACCTAAAGAAAAATAAATTTACATATTTAAAATATTCGTAGAAGCATATCATATTTATAGAATGTGAATTTTCTCTTAAGTACACCGATCGATAACCATCCATAATATATACAACATCTGCCATTAATGTAGACGTTATTTGCGTGCAATTTACATTTAACTACTTAAAATGATAGATTAACTAAGATGTATAATTAATTAAATAGCCATTATATTCAATTCGACATAAATCTTATTTGCTGATTTGGAATTGCTACTGAATAAAATTATGCCATGTTTTCACATGGCATTTTTAAACATTTCATTAATATTTTTGCGATATTTAGAGTATAACTTAGTAATACCTCTCCAAGTATGATGTGGTTCACATACTCCAGAATAATTCTTAACCATGTAGGCGTTGTGGTACTGCAAAGTAGAAGCCTGTTGGATTGGCGGTTCTTCAACTGACCATCTGAGCTCCATCTGAGAAACTTCATATGAAACTAGTTAAAAAAAGAAAAGGCAAAGTATATTTAAACCATTAAATTATTAAAATTAATTATTTTTATTCTAAAATACAAATTTAAAAGCTCTGCAAAATGTATAATTACAATGTTTATAACTTTGCAAATGAGTTAAAGTATAAATATAATCTCTGCTTTAGAATCTCTAAATTGAAAGATCAACCAAATCCTTAGAATTTTAAGTTTTATAATTAAATTTAGAAATGTTCTTGTTATTTAAATCTCAATTTTAAATTAGTCTGGGCAAGAATTGAACGCATTAATACTATTTAATCCCAGTTTATATACTGTTAAGAATATTCTTATCATCATCAAATAGTATTTTTATGATGAAGCGAGTCCGATACATAAATATTGTTCTTTCTAACTTAGAATAATTTTTATATAAAACAATACAATTAAAATGGACGTAAGTTTATAACATTCTTATTATATGCATATTCCATTAATTGGTTATATTTAATTATGAATTTTTAAGGATTTTAATACATAAAATAAGATAAAATTAAGTTCTCCACCTACTACTTTCCATCGCGAATGAGCATTTTGGATTATCGAAAGGAAATATTTTAAGATTTCCTTGACAATTGAGAATCATCTTGCGCCTGAAAATAAAATTAATAAACTTAGTTAATTACAATTTAAAATATTTAATTATATTCAACAAGATAGAGAGATGATGGCTACCGTATTGTGTAGTAAACTGTTCCGTTGGAATAAATCCTAAGCGCTATGTAAGGTGCAGCAATGGGTTGTTTGGCTTCTCCATGTTTGATGAAGTAAATATCCGGTAACCAAGTATAATTAAAATGTTTCAAAGCATTCAAATACTTGTGTGTACCTTCGTCATCAAACATCAATCTACTATCTACCCATTTCTGATGCAAAAGTAATTCTACTTCGTACGTCTAGTAAGATAACTTATTACTTTGTTAGGGAAAATAAATAAGTTTTTGAATAAATAAAATATAAGAAATAAGAGAAAAATTTACCAAACTCGATTCTCCCGGTGATAACAATGATAATAAAAGGACGGTGATATTTACAATGGGAGTATCTGAAAGATGAATGATGGATTTTAAGCTGTCTTTTAACTAATGATGACACTTTATAGTACACAATAAAATCTCTTTTTAACTATGATAAATCGATTTTTATGTTGTATACAACATTATTCTTTTATAAATTGCTAAACAAAGAATTCAAACTATCAGTTATCAGTCTCAATTCTGTAAAAATGTGGTCAATTTAATTCTTTTTATTGAAAAAAGTAATATAAATTACTATATATTTTTGGAATTCATTTACCTCCTGGTCTCATTCGCCTGTCATATCGACTTGGATGCAAAATGTGATCCAGAATTTCCTTATCGGTCTTATTTATAAAACTAAAATAATAGAAATAAATTAAATCATAAAAATTATTATCGATTAAATCGATTTTTCTTACTAGAATAAAGGAAACGAAACCGCGTGTTATGTAATTTAAATTTTTTTTTTAAAAAAAAAAGTATATATTAAATTAAGAGATCGATATTTTCATTTTTAGATTTTAAGAAATGATTTGTAATTTATAAAAATTACGTTTAACGATTCGTTTTAAATTTCGTGCGTGCGTAATATTTCTTTACCATTTAAAATTATCGCGAATTTATAGAAAAAAATGATGCGAAAGAAGATGCAATAGAGGAAAATATACTCACAGAGGTTGTCCAGCAGCAATTCCAACAAATGACCAAGTCGCTACGAGAGCGAACCATTCACCCATCTTCGAGAGGTTCTGTTAAGATATCCAGAAATGACCACTTGATAAACAACGCTTTGTCACATGACAGGTAGTGTCCGTGCATACAAATGGATACCATAGCAACCAACGGATACAATTGTCGGCTCGTCACCTACTATTTTTATATCCCTCATATAATCATCATCTAAATAAGCTTTTGAATAATTTAAAGAATGCAAAAACCATTATATAAAAAAGAAAAAAAATTTTTTTTTAATTGTCAAGCTAAAATTTAGTTTTTATCATTCTTCACTCTTGACGTGATGTTACCAAAACAGAATTTCTTTTAGAGAACTTTATCAATAATTTATATAAGAAATCCCTCGCTGAAGCTAATGAATTACTCATCGAGAAGAAACTGAGTAAGTAACATATTCTTGGTTTATTTTTAAATATAAATTTAAATATTATATGTTTATATTGAAAAAAATATATACATATTTTAGACGTTAACGGTTTGGTATATTTTAAAACATAAATTTTTATAACCATGCGTTTCTTTACATCTACTCTAATTCTAAATGGTAAACTTTAAAGAAAATCTGAATTTTTACTGGAATTTGTTAAGATTATTATAACTTTAACACATAAGAAATTTTTAATATTTATGAAGACATTAATCATTAAAACTCTTGTAAAAATAAGTGTTGAAATTTGGCACACGTAGTACAGCACCGAAGGGAATTTAAAGAGATATGGATCAAACTAAAAGCGTTTTAATTAAAATTTATGAATGGTTCGATATTATGTAATAAATCGTCTCGATCGAAAGAACTATCTGGATTATGAGAATAAGTTTCTTCAATTCCATCATTCATCATTCTAATCAACACCAGGAATTCTGCATTGCAATAAACATCGACATTTTGGATGCCATAAAATTGATGTTTTCCTAAAGTTTAAAAGTTCAGAAAAATCTAAGACCTAGAAATATATATTTTTTCCTCTCATAAACGGAAAAAGTATCGAGTTCTAAGGCGACATGTAACACAAATCAAGGAAAAAAAAATCTAATTTTGTCATCTCTCCAAAAATTTATGGATTTGTCAGCTTACGAGCATGAATCTTGGGTTTTTCCGATTCTGTCCATTTTAGTATCTTCTCTTTCTCATTAAATATACGATTTATCAGATAATTTCAGGAATTTTTTTATTTAAAAACGATTAAAATATAAATTTTCTGTTTATTTAAAAGTGTAAATATTGCTGTTTGTATACACGTACCTAAGTTATATAAGGAACATTAAAACTCTTATTGTTTACTTAAAATGTTAGATAAACGATTTTAAATCAAATATGAATGAAAATATATTCAGTTATTTCCAATTCCGTGATATTTTAACCTCAGAAAGTAGTTTATATTTCTATATTTAGTTATGTTATAGCTTTACGTGAGCGACTGAATCTACCTGTAATAGCTTGGCTTAAAAAATTAAATTTCCTTGAGGTACCACAGATAAAATGGAAATTTATAGCACAGAAAAGTTTTCAACCATCGTCAAGAGATATATCTAGAAGATTAATAAAGTTTTCTTCTCAGTTAGTGATTCATTATGTTTCGTCCTCACGTTGAAATCATTAATTTAAATAACAGTTGCAGACTATTTTATGTATAACCTTGAGCATTTTTGATGTAATTTGTTATACGAGCTTTACAGCTGAACTGGTTGAGTATAGCACTTTAACGCTTAATTTTATTCATTTTAAAGCTTTCCTTTAATTTTTCCATTAAAATAATTTCTCTTTGGGAGATAAAAACCTTATGATGAATGATCTGGTGATAAGTGATAACATTATATCTTGTATAGCTTCTAGTAAAAATTGATGCTTTAATTTCTTTTTTGACTAAGAAATTTCTTCGATAATCAGATAGAAAAATATTGATTTTTGTGAAATATTATCACTGCGATTGAGTGTGACGATTAATGGCCTCGAACAATTTATTTTTCTACGCATAAAAAACATCTTTAACATTTTAGATTTGATCTTGGATATTATTAAAAAAAGGAAAAAGTCGCCATTTATCATATTTTGACAAATTAAATTTCTTTATTTTTTCTAGATTTAATGGTTTATAGAATTTATTCGTTTATAAAATAAATTTAAAACGAATATTTAATATTTTTTTTAAGTTTTAATAACAACACTAATAATTTTCCTAAAGGAAATTATAATAAAAATTAAATTAATTTATAAAAGAAATTATTAAAAGTATATCTCAAGGGGTTAAGAAATTGTTTCGGGTAATGAAAGCAATCAATTTTTAAAATGATAAATAAAAATGCGAGGAATTAACAAATATGATAGGACGAATACATAAGTCAATTACATTAAAATTTGCATTTGAAATTAATATAGTGTAGTGGGAAATCATATTCGTTCTCATAAAATTCATACTAAGAAAATTCAATATGCTGGCTGATACCATAAACTGCATTCGAGTCAAACATGAGTTGTGTTTGGAGATGCGATACAGCAAACTGCGATTGAATGCTACATCATACATCTTCTGTCGATCCATTACTGTTCTTTATACTATTTCTGGTATTTGTTGGCTTGTATAGAATGATCTGAATTCAATTTTCCAGGCTATTTTGTAGAAAGATCATATTTTAAATCTCAAGGCTTTAAAAATTTTTTTAGAAATTCTAAACTTTAAAAATAAACAAGCAAATATATGTATTAAGTTTATTTTTTAGAAAAATTTGTTTTTTTCAGTTGTTCTTGAAATGGTTTAGTGATAAAAATAACTAATTTATATAAATAAATTTCTAAAAAAAAGAATGATCCAGGATTTAAGGTAACAAATGTAATAAATTATGTACAGTACAGTACATCATTAAAAAATTGTAAATAAAATTTTTCAGAGTTTATTCTTATATAATAATTGATACATAATTATTTTCTAATTTTTTAAAATAAATGTAATTTCTTTTAAAAATAAAATAGTTATATAAGAATAAATTGTTAAAAAGATCTTAAAGACACAAATGTGAGAGGTCAAATTTTTCGTAGGATTCATTCAAAGAATATTCAAATTAGAGCATTATGCTTTAATTTGTACATTTGTCCAACTAATGAATCGTGAAGTGCCTATTTTTGGATAATATTACGGTCTTAACAATATTAATGTATGAACATTAACGTTAAAGGCAGATTATCACGTCTATTTAATGCATACGTAAAATGTCTAGCTTTTCTCGAATAACCAATCTGGTTTTAATGTAATTTAGCCTTCTAACACAGAGGCACTTTAATGTAGAGTAAAGCTTGGGGCCTGGGAGTAAAGCGGGCCCCTTTAGTTACCTTTTTTCGAACAAATGAAATACGTAAATTGTTTCTTTATTAATGAAAAGCAGCTTTAACGATTTTATGTTAGTAAAACAAATTAATTTATAGGTGTAGGAACTACTACAAGACCCTAAGTTTCTCGGATCCAAGGAAAAATCCTCAACTCGATTATAGAGAAATGTAGAATATTTATGTAAAATTGTTTACGAAATCTTTAGATAAAAGATTTTTCATATCAATAAAATTATTGTGGTTAAATTTGATTAAGTTCCTTTCAGGTAAAACTAAGATTTAATATATTAATAGTAAAAGTGAAAGAGATGAATATAGTCCGTGAATTCATTTATCAAATTTAAATAAAATATGGAAGATTTTCGGGAATAAATTCACTTTGGAATTGTATAAAATACATCATTTTAGAACTGTTCAGTTAAAAAGTCGAATAAGAGAGATTTTTTAATAAAAATAAAAGAAAAGAAAAAAGAATAAATGAATTTAAGATAAAAATTTACACATAAATATTTATTCGCTTTCATTTATAAATTATATTTTATATTTTTAGATTAAAAAATTTGCTTAAATATTGCTCACTTTTCAAAATAATAATTAAATTTAAATATTTAAAATTTATATTTATAATGTCATTTTATGAATATTTAATGTATAAATTTATTTATTTATTTATATGAAATTAGCAAATTAACTAGAATCCGAACAAATGTGATGTCAGATTTGATTCCAAGCTTACCATGTTAAAAATATCTAAAAACCATATTATTTCATTTATTTTCTTATTTTTACTTGATAAACTAAATGAATTTTTAGAAAATAAATTTATAAAAATAAAAAAATTCAATATTATAATTTCTAACTTCAGATTTGTTAAACCGAAATGAAGTTTGTCATTAGGAGATCATTAAGGAATCTCATTAGAAGATCCATTTACTATATTAAAAACAGCGTTAGATTATATTTTTATAATTCACCTAAATTGATGAGATGCTAATAAATAAATATGAAAAAAAACAGCTTATTTTTTCAACATAAAATATTCAACTTGAAGTTAATATTAAGGGATAAGGGTCATTGAAGAATGTATTAGCTCATGAGGAATATCATTGAAGAATGTATTAGCTCATTTTTCTATGGCAGCATAAGAAATTCTTTCAAAACATTCCTTCGGCAAATTATAATCAGTTATTTTTACAATATATTAACAAAATCTAACGCTAAAAATATGAAACGGAGCTCGAACCAGTCACAAATATGAAGCGGCATCTTCCTTCGAAATCCATAAAAATACATAAATAAAATCAATAAAACAAATTTTTCATCACTTATCAGAAAAACAAGTTAATATACAGCAAGTTTATATTATATTTTTTATATAAAACACTTCATTCTGGAGACCTTATGTATCCGAAACAAATGTCCTTGTTGATTCCGTTCCATCTGTGCCTGTCTGTAATATAGAAGTTAATTATTTATCATCCAATTCGCTGTTTATATACATTTTGGAAGAAAAAACATAGAATTCTTGGATATTCTGAAGAGTATATCGTAAAACAAGTTTAAATTTTGAAAAATTCCCATTAATGTTTTTAATCTAAACATGATTATAGCTTCTTAAAAGTAATTATTACGTCAATAAGAAAATTAAAACAGTATTTTTCTTCGTTTCTATTTTGAGTTAAAGATGCAAAA